ACCTGGGTTCCTGCCACCCGTGTCGTGGGAGACCCAGCTGGAGAGCTCCTGGCTCCCGGCTTCAGCCTGGCCCAGCCCTGGCTGCTGTGGGCATTTGGGGAGTGAACCAGTAGATAGAAGACTGATGACTGATCTCTGGATCTTTCCCTCTCTGTCACTGCCTTTCAAATACATAAATTATGGAGGAGGAGGCAGAGGAGAAAATGGAGATGACATCGACTGATTGTTGTGGAGGGAACAAGATGGCCATGCCACCCCTTCAGTCCCCAAGGCCTGCGACGTCCCAGCATTCCCGCCAGGCCCCAGGAGACTGGTGGCACTGCCGCCAGACTCCAAGCTCAGGTTCTGCTGAAGGCAGTGGCTTCTGGGAGGCCACAGGACTGCTGGGGCTGCTCTTAGGCCCAGCCCCTCCCACCTGCACAGTAAGCGCCAGCCTTCTTATACCTCCACCTGCCCAGAAACCAGACACTGATGGCCGAGAAGTTCAAAACCAAGTTTGGGTCCATCCCGAGCCCCCGTGCGTGACCCTGGCTTTGCCTGATTTTCTCACCCTGATTTTCCTCTTGCCCCAGTTCCTCTGGTACCTATTTAATCCTATGGTACTGCGTGTGCATGTTTTGTAAGCCAACTGAAATCCTTTCTAGAGTGCAGCAGGGCAAACACACTGAATGGGCACGGTCTCCAGGAAGGCAGGGTGAACCACTGCTGGGGCTGTGAGGAGGGACCGGCCTTGGCACAAGGGGCTGCCAGCTAAAGGAACACGGGCCTGGAGGAACCTCTGACGCGACCCAATGCCATGGCCAGCCACTCTGCACTTGCTGGAGCACCCAAGGGGGCGCCATCACAGCAGACCTGGCTGACGTCCACCTGGGGCCAAGGACTCGGGCCATCATCTGCTTCTACCCAGGCATGTTAGCGAGAAGCTGGATCAGCAGTGGAATAGCCGGGACTCAAACCAGTGCTCCGATATGGGTTGCCGGCCTCGCAAGTGGTGGCTTAACCTGCTGCACCACAACGCCGGCCTCCATCAGCTACCTCTTATGCAGGTCCCTGCTACCCCAAGAATTTCTGCAATAAGGCTGGCACTGTGGCCTGGCAGGTGAAGGCACCAGCGCCTGAGACACCAGCATCCCATATGGGTGCCGCTTCCAATCCAGCACCCTGTTAATGGCCTGGGAAAACAGCAGAAGATGGCCCACGTGCTCCCATATGGGAGACCTGGACGAAGTTCTTGGCTCCTGGCCTCGGCCTGGTCCAACCCCTGGGGAGTGAACCCATGGACAGAAGTTCACTCGCTTGCTCTCTCTGCCTCTCCCTCTGACTTTGAAATAAATCAATCTCTTAAAAACAAACTTTCTGTAATTTCTCCACAGTTTGTTGAGTGTCACCATCAGTCCTGCAAAACGTGTGAGGGGAGCAGGAGCCGCGGGCAGGGTAACAGGTGGGCTGCTCATACTTGGGTGCAGATTCAAGGCGGCTGCCGCCCTGTGGGATCCTGGGCAAATGTCTAACTGGGAGAGGCCTGCTCTGGGCTATGCAGCTTCAGCTGACAGAAGCGGTCCCAAAGACTGACTGCATGCTGGGATTATAGGAGGGCACCCAGCACGGGAAGCTGCGACGTCGACAGGCAGGACAGCACACGTGGGCGCTGGGAGGACAAAAGCACTGCCCGTGCACCAGCAGCTGCCACCAGCATCTTCAGCCCAGAATTCTCGCCCTGACGCCAGCCGTCTCAGGCCTTCCTGGCACCTCCACTTCTGCACTGTGTGGACACTCAACCTGCCGCCCACAACTGCTGACCCAGAGCTCTTCTCACCTGGCCACTCCCTCCTCCAGGTGCACAGCTCGCAGTCCTCAGAACTGCCCTCAACTCCATCCCCTGCCACCACGGTCCAGTCCTCTAGGAACTGCTCCTGCCTCACTGAGCACAGGCCGAAGGAACTCGGCACAGACCTGGAAGGCCCCACACTTGCCGGTCGACCGAGCACACGGCCTGTGACGAGGTTAGGACAGACAGTAAGAGAAAGCAGTCAGCACTCGAACGCCAACACCAAAGGCCCATCTGAGGTGCACCAGGAGTCAGGGAGCGCTCCTTGCCACCCGCGCCCTCCTGCGGCTCACCTCTGCTCTCTCCACCCTGACCCCACCTGCCACCTCCCTCGCTAGGTCCCAGCCTCACTACCGCATTCCTGAGCCTCGAGGCCCTGGCTCGCTCCCACTCTGGCCTTCTGCACTTGGCCCCTCTGCCCGGCTTCCACACAGCTCACCCTTCCTCCTCTTTCATGCCTCGCATAGTTCATGCTGCAAACCACTCCCTCTGCTTCCCATAAAATCACTAGGCCGGTTGTTTGTTTTGCTGTTTTCCAGAGCCCTCATCCAGTAACAGGCCATGTAATTTATTTACATTGGGTTTCTCTTTCCATTACTACTTAAGCTGCACAGGGCGGAAGGGTGGGGGTTCTGCTCTGCACATAGCACGAAGAGCCTGGCATGCCACAAGGCTCAGCGAATACTGCGCCACAGGACTGCGGGAGCCCAGAGCACGCGTGGGGCAGGCTGCAAAGGAGGAGCCAGGGGTGTGCCCTGGGGCAGACACCCTGCACCTGGAGGAAGACAGGGCTGGTGTGGACTGAGGTGGGGGACAGAGCAGCGGAGGGCGGCTGCCAGTCAAACACTCTGGAGTGGACACTGCAGAGAACTTGGTATCTAGGAGATATTCTGCATCCCAGGGCAGAGGTCCTGGGTGGATGGGGATGGGAGGCTGACAACAGTCAATGGCAAGAAAACTGGCAGCAAACTGAGAGGCGCGGGCTAGGTAAGGTGCAGAATGACAGTTTCCAGGGCTGTGGGGCATGAGGGAGAGGCAAGTGGCCCAGGGAGGATGGCCCCAGGCCCAGCAGGAGAAGGAAGCCCTCATCAAACACCAGCACCTCCATCAGGACAACAGCCAAGGCCCTGAAGCCTGCCTGGCTGTGGCTGCGCCGTGTGTGGTGGTTTCTCAGTAGCCAGCCTCCCCCGCCCTTGTAGGGCCTGGGGTCCTAAGAGCACCCCTCCCAAATGTTCCTCCTGAGTCAGCCTACATTTCCCAAGGCCATTTTCTGGATAAACTCTCACTTCTAGATTCTGAGGTCCACCCAGATCCACCAGTGAGTGCACTAAGCAGCTACCTTTCACCTGACACTTTGTGAGGCCCCAAAAAAGAACACCAAAGAAACAGGGCGGGACTGGTGTGTGGCTTATTGGGTAAAACTGCCACCTGGGTGCCATATCCCATATGGCTGCTGGTTCGAGTACTGGCTGGCTGCTCCACTTCCGATCCAGCTCTCTGCTATGGCCTGGGAAAGCAGAAGATGGCCCAAGTCCCTGGACCCCTGCACCCGCTTGGGAGACCCAGAAGAGGCACCTGGCTCCTGGCTTCAAATCGGCAAAACTCCACCAGTTGCGGACATTTGGGGAGTGAACCAGCAGATGGAAGATCTCTTTCTCTAACTCTCTGCAACTCTGCCTTTCAAATAAATAAATCTTTAAAAAAGAATGAAAGAGAGCATACTCCCAACAGCCCCCACCATATGATGGGAGGAGGGTGTGAGGTGTGGGAAAATGTGTGCATGCATACACACAGTTAAAGGATGAAATGGAGCTCCACCTAACACCTGTTTGCTCTAAACTCACGTTGGGCATAAGTTGCCAAAACAAGACTCCTTTTAACCTCTGATTCACACCCAAGCTGAAAGAGGAGAAATCCACAACTTAAACCTTGTCAGACTGGGGAGGGGTGGAGACGCGGACGGCACAGGCAAAGGTGTGCAGGTAAGGCAAGCCACATCTGGGGGAGGCCTGATTCCAACAAACGCCTCAGGGAAGCCAGCTGGGCCACAGCACTCACCACAGTTTCCCGGTTCCTGAATGGGCAGAACACAGGAAAACCAAAGGGGGGGGGGGCTCCACGGAGTTCTGTGGGAACCTGCCGGGCAGGGAGACAGAACCCCAGCGCCTCCGGGCAGCCCTGCACGACATGCTGTCTGATTACATTCCTCCCAGCGCCACGCTGGTCCCTCCTCGGGTTTTCTACGTCAGTTTGGGAGACGCCAGAACCCTGTATAAACTGTTAGGGGAAGACAGGGCACAAAGGAAAACAATCCCAGAGCTAAATATAGCGGCCGCGCGAACACCCAAGTCAAACAAGCTCTAATATTAATGAGGCACGAATGCGCAGGAGCGGTTTCCAGGGCCGAGTGGAGGCGGGCTACCTTATCAGAAGGAGCTGCATAAAAGCGCTCAGCCGCCCACGGGCTCCTCCCCTGCAGCAGCCCGCACCTGGGACACCAGGGAGACGGGCAGACACCGGCGATCATCTTTTTCCAGTTCAGCCTGCACCGGCTGTAGGTTCTGACCAGGACACACTATTCATCAGTCAAAAGAGAACCTCCATTTTTAGTTACCCATCCACTTAGGAACCTTCACGCACATGATCTAAGAGTTGACAGTACAGCTAACTCTCTGTACCACGGAAACAGGAACTTCAGGAGGCCAGCAGTAACACCGGGAGCCCAAACAGCCCCAGCTCATGCTCAGCAAGGCATCAGGACGACGGCTGCCAGCAACCACCCACGGAGGAGCCTGCACCTGCCCAGCACGGCGAGGCCTGCACCGTGTGCCTCCGCTTCCACAGACCAAGCAGTCTGATGCACCACCACGGGCGGGCCTGGCAGGCAGCAGCACCCCATCCCACGCGGTCAGGTGTGGAGGCCCGGGCAGAAGACGGGCACTCACCTCAGGCCTTAACCAATGAGCGTCTCCCCACTAAGCCTCTGGCAGAGGGTGAACAACTGACGTGTGACCACGTGAAGGGGAGCACAGCCAGGCTGGGACTCCCCAGGAGAGGACACCAGGCCCAGCAGGAAGCAGGGAGAGAGTTGGCTGTACTGGCATGGCAAGCACCCCCCACCAGCAAGCTGCCCCGCATTTCTAGGAAGGAAGAAAGCAAACCGCCGTCCCACCTCGGGCTGCGCGGTCACAAGTGAGGCAGGGCTGGGACCAGTCGCCACTTGGGCGGGAGGCCAGCCCCAGGTGCGGCAGGAAAGGGTGGCGCTGGCTCAGCGGCTGCAGCTCCTCGCTCTGACCCAGCGGGGCCCCTGTGCGGTGCTGGGGGCACAGCGAGGCCTCGGGCGCTGTTGGGCAGGGACATACACACACACACATACAGAGAGAGACATGCCATTAGAGGGTGCGCACGGCCTCGCGAGGGCACAGGGCGAGCCGTGGGGCCTGCGGACCACCTTCCGACCCTGGACATGCAGCACAGGCTCAAGGACTGAGGGGACCAGCAAACTCCAGAGCCGCGACTGACGGCCGCATATCACTCTGCCCAGCGGAAGCCGGGGAGGACCTGTGTCCGCGGGACGAGGGGCTCCTGCATTCCCGCCTCGTCCTGTCCAGCACGCTTGGGGACAATGGCCGTGAAAAGCACGTACAGAGAGGAGCCGCCCCCCCACCCAGCTGTGTGCCACGACCACTGCCACACGTGGCATTGGAGCCACAGCAGGCTGGGGCTAACTCAGGCCAGGGGAGCCTTTCGGGGAGGGGGAGGGGGAGTGGCGAGAGGGGGGTGCTAGGGAGAAAGAAAACCTTCTCCCTATCTAAAGGGCATCTCCGCTTTTTTGATGCAAAAACCTGAACCTTAAGGGAGACTGATGGAAAGGAAGTTTAAATCGGTTTCAGCAGTGTTCTGGAGGTCCCGGCCCTTGCTTGAGCAAAGCAGTTTCAACGGGCCAGTGACAACACCTAGCAGCAGGCCAGGGAGCTGGAGCTGCTCCAGGGGACAGTCACCTAGATTTCCTGGAGACAGGAAGTCTGAGTTTGGTATGCAAGCCTCCCAGCTGACACATCTCTCAAGCGCTGGCGGTGGCCGTACAGAGTCAAACTGAAACCAGCCAAAGCAGGAAACATAAGCGGCCTGGTAAGCAAGGGTCGGCAGGGGTCTGCCAAACTACAAACAACTTCCTTTCAAAAACAAAGGAAAAAGTTCACTCTTCTGCTGACACAGTGTTCCTGCGTCCAGAAAGACAGGGGATGGGGCTCTGCACGGCTGCTTCTCAGCACAAGACACAATGTCCGCAGCCCCCATCCTACCCTGCCTCCCAAGGCCCCAGGGCTCCCCCTGAGGGTGGGCTCCACACTGTGGCCGCACAGCACTGCTCCCGGAACCCTTCCGGTGGGACCCCCGGAACACCAAGATGGCTCACAGAGACCGGCTGCTCCTGCCAGGCCCTGAGCCCCACTTCTGCTCCTTAGAATCGCTCCTGAACATTGGCCAAAGACCCAAAGTGATCCAACATGCAAAACCAGAGCGCAGACCCACCCCGCCCAGCAGAGATCCAGTCATGCAGGCAAGTCCCCCGAGAACTCTCATTTGCATGGTTGAAAAGGAGGCCCTGCTGGCGCCAACAACCTGGGCAAGTCTTTTTGCATTTTCCCTCTTTAAAGTGAGCCAGAGGACACCTGATCTCTGATCTCGCCCTCTCTGTGCTGCTCAGAGTAACACACTGAGCTGTTCAAGAGACTTGCAGCTCAGGCGGCAGAAAAACATTTAATACGAGATTAAAGCAGCGAGATGATCAAGAACGAGCATTCGCTTCCTCTCGGCTACCACAAAGAGCCAGCTCCCCACCGTCCCTTCCCCGAGGAGGACGCAGGCCAGACCTGCCTCAGGGGCCACCTTCTCCTGAGGACTCGGGGAGCCAGGAGCTGGCCCTGTCCAGACACACAGAACGAGAGCCCCGAGTCACAGCGGCCATAGACAGACGGCCCCTTTGTACCTGTAACTCAATCCAGACCGAGGGCTGCCAGAAACTGAGAACCAGGGACAGGCTGCGCTCGGTAGCGGCCACTACCCTCTCAGCCCTGGGACACCCGGACACCCACCCCCGACTGCACATGGCGCCTGCTCAGGGGAGGGGCGGGGAGGGCCCTTGGATTACTCACAGCCATGGTAGGAGGCCGGCGAGCCCCCGGCCTTGCCGTACTCCTGCTCTGAGTAGCTGGTGGAGAGGTTGGGCTGGCTGGAGCCGCGGCCAAAGGTGATCTGGTTGCTGCCCATGCCGGTGGCCACCTGGGCCATGCGCTCTTTGGTTTTGAGGGCCTGGGCCCTCTCAGCCTTCAGCCGCTCCTCGTCCTTGAGCAGGGCCACCAGCTGCTTGGACTTCTCGCGCACGTTCACGCCCTGGTCCTTGCCGTCGCGGTCGATGTACTGGAAGTCCTTCAGGGTCTGGATGGCGAAGATGTTCTCCCGGCACTGCTGGGCCACCCGCTCAGAGCCCGTCTTGATGAGGTAGTCCAGCAGCGTCAGCGCCTTGTACACGTGCCGCCAGTTCTTGCCGTGGTCGTTGAGCCGCTTCCACACCATGCTCATGATCTCGGAGAAGGCCACCACGTTGTAGGTCAGGTCGGCGATCTCAGTCATCAGCGAGCTGGACGGGCCCCACGGGTCATTGGAGGTGGCTTCCCGGACTTTGATTTCGGCCTCGGAGTAATTGTTCACAATGTTCTTCATCTGCCGTCTGATGGACGAAGTCGTCATGGTTATGTCCTCTGTGACAAAAATCAAAAGCCCTTCAAAGGAAGACAGAAACTTTCCCGTCCTCGGCAAGTCCGCGCCCTGTGCAGGCCAGCTTCCAAAATCAACCTGGAGCGGGATCCCGGAACAATCATTTCCTCCTTTGGAGGCTCAGGTCCGAGACGCCGGGGGCCATGGCCTAGAGGAAGAAGCAGAGCACAGCCGAGGGCAGGGGTCAGCCCCGGGGCAGGGCTGAGCGAACATACCGCAGCCTCCTTGGGGTAACCGTCCATCTTTCTTCCCAAACCAGATCACATCTGTCTCGCCAGTTAGGAGGGCGTAGAAGGTAAACGCAAGGCCAAGCCTTTGGGAGGAAGAAGTGAGCCTGGCGTCCTGTGTGCACAATGCACCTACCAGGATGGCTCTTCTGGGGGTTGTATTTTTGACTCCAGGAAGAAGCCAGCCGTGAAGGAATCAGCAAGCTGGGAAAGTTGGCCCTGATAGATGCGCACGCGCAAGGAGGCCTCTCATGTCAGGCCTGTCCTCGCCCCCCAAAGCCTGTCTGCGCCTGCAGAATCACGGAGCACTGGGCTCTGGTCCCCAGTGCTGCCACCGCTCAGGGCATTCTCCTGAGGGCACTGTCCTCTGGACCCTGCCTGCTCCAGACCAGGGGAGGGCTCCAGAAAACTAACCTGGTTCTTGCCCAACCCCCTCACTTCACAGAGAAGAAAACAGGCCGAGAGCTGGCGTGACTTGGCTTTAAACACGCCCACCCTCTGTCTCCCTCCATGTAAGATACAAACACTTACAGACCTACAGTGAGGTCCACGTCTCCAACGCCGGGCTCTGGTCCAAGCGCTTGGTGGTCCCCATCTGTCTTGTTCACAGCAAGTCCCCAGCACCTAGCACCAAGCCTGACACAAAACACACACTGTTGAAGAAACAGGGGGTTACAGATTGGAAACAGTGTCACAGTCCTCAGGAAGACCAGACGCCTGGGGAACAAAGATGCCTCCAGGGAGAATGCTCACTACAAAGTTAGCTATGGATTTCAGCAACTAACCTGCCTCAAGAAGGATTTATCTAGGAACTTACTGGCTCTCGTGTAAAATGGGGAAACTGAAGCCCAGAAGACTCCAGAAACGGCCACAGAGAGATCGGCATGTTGGGGCCCGGGCAGGAGGCAATGGCTCTATCACCCCACAGCCTGGTTGGTCACTGGGGACTCTGGGCCAGGCTCTGTGTCACTTAACACCCAGGAAAACCTTCTGAGTGAGGAACACTGTTCCCGTGGGAGAGCCTGGGACCACGCTGGCTGCCCAAGGCCCCGGGCTGGGAGCTGAACTCTGCTCCTGAGCCCACCCAGCACCAGCCCTGCTCTCACTGGCCACCGGACTGCAGTGCTTGCCAGAGAAACAAGGCACGGCCCCACCGTCCTCTTCCGAAGCCTCAGGTGGGCACGGCCTCATCAAACAAACAACTGAGGGAGAGTCACAGGGAAGGCAACGGTCCCTCTCACAGATGACCACACGCGAAAGCAGCATCCCTACCCCGCTCTATGCCAAAGGCCCCAGCCAGAAGGGGACTCAGTCTTGTAAAATTTCGCCAGCCTTCTCCCCACACACTTTCGCCTAGGATATCCGCCAAGGAGTCTGTTTCCATCTGAAGCCACAGAACTGGATTCGACAGAAGGCAGGCGCGTTCTGCCCCTCCGCCCATCTGGCCAGCTCTCATGAATCCCCTAAAGCCTGTCAAACGACCGAGGCGAAAAACATTTCCACCGTGACTTGCAGATTTGCTTTGACTGGGTTTCTCATTCACGATGCGGCATCCATGGCTGGCCAGAGATGGGCTGGCTCTCTCAAAGGGGAAGAGGGACACTCGGATTCTGCAGGGTGCACTCCCCAGCTTACAGTGCAGGTATGTGTGAAAACTAGTGGCCACGTTCAGACGCACTTACTGCCCAAGGGCCCCACAGTGTGCCAGGCACCAGCGGGCACTTCCACGTCTATCCATTTGGTTTCGGCAGGGATGCCTGTCCCACGCCTCAGAAAAGTGACCGCAGCTGGGAGTCTCACCCAAGAGACGTCCCTCCAGGTCACAAAGCAGCGATGATTAAGCACAAGAGGAAGCGGACGTGATAAGGGCCAGATGGTTGAGAAGACCTTAAGAAAAAAATACTTTTTTCCCTGATGAGAAACCACACCCAGGCCCAGCTGCCTGTGGCTCTGGCCATCTGGGCGGGGCAGGAGGGAGGCGGGGAAAGAAGACCCCTAGCAGGGCCCACTGTCCAGGAGGCCATAAAAGGCACAGCCAGGGCTCCCACGGAAGCTCCTAGGGCTTGGGTGGCAAATAAAAGGCAGCAACTCCTGTGTGCAAGGGCTGGGCAAGGAGCTCCCTCCCATGTGGACCGGGCACGCTGAGCAGGGCAGGGCCTTTCTCCAATGGACTCAACTTGCAAAGACACTTGCTGGGGGGATGCCTGAAATGCTTAGGCTTAGAGAAGGAAAAAGCTAAAAGGGTATTTGCTGTGAGAAGAAGGAAAAGCTAATAAAGTACTTACTGCAGTCAGAAAAAATTTTCAAAATAGAGTTTGTAGCACAGCTGCCTGCTGTCTTCTTTAAAAAAAAAAAAAAAAGAGTGGCTCTCAGGACAGGCAGATGATGAGAAGGCAAAGACCTGGGTGAGAAAGGATACAAGGATACCAGAGGTCTCCCCAGTAGGCTGTTCGCCAGGCCAGGAGCTTGCACAGGAAGGGCCTGTGGCATGTGGGCCACGGAGCTCTGAGCCCTGCTTCCTCAGCACCTCAACCTCCGCGGCCTTGCCACTCTGGGCCGTGTGCACCGCAAACCTGGTCTTTCCAACCATAAACTCCACTCAACCTCAGCAATGGGCTCTGAACACTTCAACATCTCCAGCCCCGGCGTCTGGCCGCCAGGACTCCCTCCTACGAACAAGCCCTGAGCACTCCCCAACACACACACAGGACACATCCTGTTATTTCTAGAATCTCAATTTTTCTTTTATTCCTGTTCTTTTTTGGAATAGTTTGCATGCTCCACTTTCCAAACTTTCCTTCTTTGTTTGCCAGTTTCCTTTCTAGCTCGCTGAGCCTGAACTAACACACACGCCAAAGCAACTGAAACAGGGTATCTGATACCCTCTGGGCTCCTCATTCAAACCTGAGGATGTGCAAGCAATGCACAAACATCAGTCATTTCTAAGGACACCCAGGCCAGATATGGATTAGATGGGGGCAGGGGGTGGGGAGGAGGGTGGACAGAGGACTATCAAAATGACAAGGAAAAATCAACTTTAGAACAAGGATAGCAAAACAGAAGCATGCAAACTTATTTTTATAAATAGCATCCTAACAATTACCATGAGAACATGAATAAGTAGAAATACCTTTAGAAATCTAGTTCTACCATCAGGTAGAGGCAAAAAAAAAAAAAAGGTACACAAGTTCATACAATTCTGTTGCAACTTTAAATATTTTTGAATGGAGACAGCAAGATTACTTCAAATTGGGATTTATTATTCCAGGTTTAAAAAAAAAAAAACAAAAAAAAACACCGTTCTGATTCTAGTTACAGAGCTGGACTGCATGAGGCTAGGCAGGCTCACAGGAGATGAGCAGGCAAAGGTTCCCAGCCCTAATAAAAGCCCATGTTTTAACACTGCATTAATGAAACAACCACACTGAGTGGACAAAAATCCCAACCAACAGCAGAGAAAGTGAACTCACCAGCTGGCCCGGGGAAGCCTCACTGTGGGCAACACAGATCTGCCGGGCCTTTCAGAATGCCTGGGAGCGGCCGCGCGATGGCCTTGGTGCGGCAGGACCAGCCCCAGAACCAGGACCAGGCCTTCAGCCAACACACCAGGACTCCATCACCGCAGTGAACCTGCTGCTTCTGCCGGGCAACCACCATCTCCCGCTGCCATGGAGTGGGCACCTCAGTCTCCCGGGAGCTGGCGGGGGAGCCTGGAGCTCCCACAGCTGCAGGGCAGAGGTGCCATCAGGGCACAGTGACAATCCAGCCCAGACCACCTGCAGACCGTGCGGCACGGGCCCTGAAACCACGGGGAGAGGCCGCTGGAAACCATCACAGGGCCAGGGCTTCTGTGTACCTGAGACTGAAGGAGCCGAGGACAGGAGGGGCCCTGAGACACACAGCACCGGGTCTGAGCCTGTGCCTGAGAGGGGGACAGCAGGAAGCTAGCAAGAGCCAGACAACACACAGAGAGCATGGACACGCCCCTGAGCCCCAGTGGCAGCGTACGTACCAGGGCATAGACACCACCATGCTCTCCTCAGCCCTGTGCTGACCAAGGAGGGGCTGTGGTCTTCCCAGGGACACTCACCACCGCCCCCAGAATGCAGCACCGCAATCAAAGGCTAGGGTCATCCACTCTTTTGTGAGGGGACCCCTACGTGTGCAGGGGACAAACGGGGGAAAAAATAATTGGGGCATACTGAAAACACAATCAGCTTTCAAATGTCAGTGGAGACTGGAAAGAGACTGAACCAAACAGCAAACAAAACCAGGCTAGCAGGGAGGGCAGGGCAGATGCAAAAAAAATAAAAAATAAAAAAAGTTTTCCAAGCCTAGGGTGCCGTCCCCAGAGGCCAGAAGAATCCCGTAAGAATGTGCTCCATGCACTTGCAGGGCTGGACAGAGAGCTCCTCTCCAAACCCAGCGTTCGCAACAACAGAGGACGGGGGAGATTTCTGTGGGTCCCCACAGTCCACGGGGCGCAGTGGTCAAGCCCCACAAGTCTCTGCCCAGTGCCAGGGTGCCAAGCTGAGGGTGGCCACGTGCTGAGAGGACGCTCACCCCTCAGTCAAGGTCTAAAGACACCAATCGCCAAGTAGACACCTGGCCAGTGGCTTCCGAGCTGCAAGGGCTGTGAGCACCTCACCCCCTTCCCTAAACCTGACAGCCACAGGCCAGTCAACACTGCCGTGGCAACTCAGTCCCAGCAGTAAGATCTCCACCCCGACGGGCAGCTGAATGATGGATGGCAGGCAGCCTCCTCCCAGCAGGTGAGCGAGCCTGGGAAGGGGACACACCAGTGCGGCCCACGGAAGCCCCTGGGTGCCAGTTCAAGATTTCCAGAAAACACAACAGCCGGGGGCAGAGCTGTTTCTCAGCAGGCTGCCCGCTGTGTGACACGTGTGCACGTGTGGCGTGTGCAGTCCTCTGCCATGCTGGCCACACACACGGGAGGAACTCTGCGCCTTCCTGCTGGAGAACAGGAGGCCAGGCAGGGGCAGCTGTGACAGCAGCACACGTGACCAAGCCTAGGGCTCCACAGGAGACAACGGCGCAGTCAGGACAGTGTGCACAGTGCCACATTCTTTCCAACAGTGACCGTTTCAGTCTAAAGAGAAAGGACTATTATGACTTGGCCCAGCCATGCTCACATTAACTTAAAGCCTAATAACCACGGCTCATGCGGAGATGCAAAATAAAAGGGGGGGCGGATCTTCTCCTTCCCTCAAACCAGAACAGCGAGATTCAGCCAGAAAAGAAACTTCTCTAACTGGGCATTGGGTTATCTCCACATCCTTGGCTTCTTGCTGGTTACAGAAAGCATCCTGTATCCCTATCCATAACGCGAACTTAAAAACCCTCGCTACCCACACAGTAAACAATTTAAAGGGAAAGAAGTCGTTCAGGACCTGACACTTGCAGGCGATCCCAGGGTCTCCGGCGAAGTGAAACAAGCCCATGCCAGGCAGCGAGGCCCCTGCGGGATGCTGCTCAACCCACGCCAGGACAGAGCGGCGAGGGGCTGACTGTGGGAAGGAGCGCCCGCCTGCCCTCCAGCAGGCTGCCAGTCACTAGCACCGTGGCAGCCCAGGCGCCTGGGACGTCACGTGTCCCTCGTTTTTCTGGAAGCAGAG